ACTCCTGCCTGGAATCCTCTTCCCTGACACTTTGCGGGGCGGAGCCATTCATCCATTAGGTCTCAGTGTGAATGCCGTTCTCTGGCGAGGCCTGCCCTGATCACACTCTCTAAAGTAGCTGTCCGCTCCCACCACCACCGTCACCTCCATTTTCCTTCGCTCTCTTCTTGCGTCCCCTGTGTCACACTCACCAAAATCAATACTTGTTTTAGTTTACTTGACTTTTTTTCTGCCTTTTCCAAAGCACATAAGCTCTGTGAGGTTGCATTATTTCATTTTCATCCCTCTTTCCTAAGTGCCTTGCACAGTGTTTGACACGTGATCGGTATTTGATAAAAAACATTTAACTCAATGAATTAAATGGGGCAAATGTGATGGCCTAGGGCAGCTTTGGCAACCTTCAACCCACGGGCCCACTTGGGCACACCATGTTTTTATACGGTCCATGAGCTAAGAATGATTCTCACATTTTTATTTTTATTTATTTAATTTATTTTTATTTATTTTTATTATTTTAGCTGAGCTATCCTGCCACCTGTTGGCAGCTCAGCGGCAGCTCAGCTCGGGCCGGGCATCGAACCACTAGTTGCTCAGAGTTCGCACTCTTGAGCAAGCTCTTAACCAAGTAAGCCACTCAGCTGGCCCGATTCTCACATTTTTAAATGGTACAACAAATTAAAAAAAAAAGAAATGACAGTATATGAAATTCAAATTTCAGTGTCCACAAGTAAAGTTTTGTTGGCACACAGGCATTCCCATGTTTACAGATGTCTGTGGCTGCTTTCGTGATAAAAGGGTAGGGTTGAGCAATTGTGATAGAGGCTTAACAGCCCACCAAGTCTAAAATATGTATCATCTGGCCCTTTATAGAAAAGGTCTGCCAGTCCTTAGGCTGTGAAATCAAGGGTAAGGGAGAAGAGTTAAGAAGCTGTCATAGTCATTCAGATGGGAGATGAGGGTGGGCTGAACTAAGGTCCTGACTCTGAGGTTGGAGCTGGCGGGAATGGGATTCCAGGCAGATTAAGCAAGCAGGTGTTCTGACCTCTGCCAAGCTTCCCTGCTCCACTCCCAACCAATCAGGCTTTTCCGAATAAACATCTTTTTGCCTTCACCAGGAAATCAAGTCTCTCAAATTTCTCTCTTCCTAGTTGCCCTGCTGCCTCCCAGATGTCCACTTAAGTCTCATCTGTGAAATGGGGATGTTGAATGAAGTGATGGATGTGAACGAGCTCATTAAAATCACATACGTAGGCCGGTGCCGGGATCCCTCAGTCAGTTTAGTGCTAGAGCAGTTAAGGAGGGCTGGCCCGAAGTGTCTACTGCCACTGAGGGGTCAAGTGGCATGGCCAATCTTGCTTCCTGTTTTGGTCTATATCTAGGAGCCGGAGGCTCACAACAGTGGAATTCTAAGCATGTGTATTAAAAATGGTTGCTTGTTAGAAATCTCAAAGCTTTGCCGTCATCGACAGCTTAAGGATTGGTTTAATAGAGGACCTTGTATTTGGGGTTCCACAGAGGAAGCAGCACCGAGCTTAGCCTTTGGGTTTTACTGAGGCCTTTAGACACAAATCACCTGTCAAAGGCAATATTTTGGCCTTATTAAAATGATTTCAATTAGTTTCTTAAATGTAATGGACTCTGTATCTTATTACCCATCGTAGAAACTTGCCAAGACGCTCATATTCTTTGGCTTGTGGAACTGTTGGCATGTTTTTTCAAGACTTGAAAAATGCTTTGGATTGATTTTTTTAGATCTTAACCTTTCCTCTGTGCTCCTCCTCAATACAGCCAGAATGTACTATAACTTGGGTTGAAGTGACAACTTGTAAAATGCAAAAAAGAAAGCACTCACCCTCTCTATTCATTTGTCAATACTTTGGTTATATTCCTATCTGTGCGAGGCAGTGAGTGACACATGCTGTGGGCACTTTTCCTCATGGAGTTGACTCTTCAATGGGAGAAGAAAGACCCAGACCCCAAATTACTCTTAACTGTTGGCTGTGCATCATGGGGTCACCAAATGCTACGCGGACACAGACCACATTCAATTGAGTAGGTTAGTACATGTGTCCCATGTACTGTCATGTGCTGGGGACACTGCATGAACAATATATGCAAGTCCCATGCACCCGTGAAGTAATCAAATAGGATAATTTCAATAGTGGTAACTGCCATGGAGAAAACATCACACAGGGTAAGGAGACAGGGAGTGACTGGTGTATGGAAAAAGGAAGACTGCAGGTGGATAGTTGGGGATGGCCTCCCTGAGAGAGTGAAATTCATGTTGAGGTCATAATGAGGAGGAAGAGTCAGCCCTGCACAGATGATCCAGGGCACAGCTGATGCAACAGCCCTGAGGTAGGAGCCAGCCTGGCCAGAGTAACTGAAGTGCAGTGACTCACACGAAGCGCTATGAGGTGAGGTGGAAAGGCGGGCAGGGGCCAGACTGTGGAGACCCTTGGAGGCTGTTGGATGGCCTTTGCATATTTTTATAATTGCAGTGAGTGGCCACAGGAGGTTTTTATAAAAAAAGATTCATACCTAAAACTTCAGTATCCAAAACGGGTAAAAGCAGAGCTGTTGGAATTGACGCTGGAGTGAGAAGCTCAATCAGCACCTACTGAAAATCTCCAATCTCTTCCCCATCTCCCATCTTAGGCGGTTCTAAGGGGTAAGTCTAGTCTAAAGACAGCAGAGCCATCCTACCCTAATCGCAGACATTAGAAAGTTCTTCCTTCTGCCTTCTTATAGCTTCTACCCAGGGGCTTTCAATTCAACCTTAGGGGTGATAACAGTTCTGTTCCTGTTTCTAGATAGCAGCCCTGAAATCAGTTCAGGGTTAGCTGTGGGCCTCTGCCTGCCCCGTAGGCCTTCTCTTCCCTTTCAGAAAGTGGCTGCAGTGGTGCTAGCCCTTTCTCTCAGGGCATGCTGGGATTGTCAGGATAGTTACACTTGATGACATTGTCTGGTGATCTGCAGTCTGCTCTCTGTGAGGGTGCTCAGCATTCATTGTAGCTTCTGCAGCAAGGTCACCTGCCAGAGCTCTAAACAATGAGAGCCATCAAGACCCACATCTGCTGGTTCTCTCTCTTTCTTTTCAGAGATGAATAGGAGAGGCTTCTCAAAGTGACTGTCTGTTGCTGGTGGGATAAATCTAGGCTCCTCAGCCTGGGCTGCAGCTTCTCCAAACTCATGCTCCTCTAGCCTGACTCCCCATGGTTTCTCTCTGAAATTTAGGCCTTTGTTTCTACCATCTTCCCTTCGCAGATGCGTTTTTTCCCTCTCTGCCCTTATAACTCATGAAGGGCCAATTCACATAACACCTTTTTTTTAAAAACCGCCCTTTGTTAAAAATTGAAAATCTCCAAAATTATACACAAATACTATGCTCTCATTATATATATTTTTCAGGGGTGCCAAAAAAATGTATACAAGTGGACACTTTGGTCAACGTAGCTCAAGCAGTAGTTTGCCATAATCAGAAGTGTCTGGATGCTGATGGTAACCACTTGGAGCACCTCTTGGAATTGCAGAAGTCAAATTTGACTTGTATTCGTCTTTTGTTATTGGTATATATTTGCAATGTTAATATATTAACAGTATTGCAATGTTAATAGTTTTTTCTTTCTTAAAATGCGTACACATTTTTTGGTCACCCTCTGTATATATGAATTATATATATATATATATATATATATATATATATATATATATATATATATATATATATATGTTTTTTTTTTTGGCCTTTTTCCAGTCCCCTTTCTGTCTCAGAATTAGGAATTTGCTTTGTATCTTTCCAAGCCTTTTGCTATGCTTTTACCTGTAAACAATTTAGTTTTTTGTGTGAGTTTGTTTTTAAAAGACATTATGGTCTCATGTTATATACATTATCCTTTGACTTGTTTTTTTCACTTGGAAATTTTTCCCAAGCCAACACACACACACACACACACACACACACACACACACACACACACACACACACATATATATATATATATATAGTTGTTACTTTAAAAAAAATTAGTGTCATTAAAAATTCAAACTGAAAAATGTATAAAGTGAAAAGCAATAGTTCTCTAATTCCCTATATTTATTTTGGAGATTATTGCTGTTAACACTTTCTTACACATATTTATAGATGCTCTAAAATGTAATCCTGTAGTATATAGTATATATATCATATAACATCTTGAACATTTTTCCATATCTATATACATAGCTGCCTGTTCTTTTTGATGAGTGCATAGTATTCTATTATATGAATATACTATAATTTATTTAACCATTTCCCTATTAGTGAACTTGTTTGCTCTTTTCTGTTTGAAAATCTCTGACCCTTCTAGCTTGCATTAAGTCACTCTTCCTTTACTATAAATTTAAGTTTTTCAACACAATAAACATTAATTGAGTGCCTCCTGTCTTCCTGGCACTGTGCAGCGTGGTAGGCCCCCCAAGATGCTTAATACATAGCCCCTTCCTCCACTTTGAGTTATCACAGTCTAAAGAACTTAGAATGTGACATGAGCTGGGATGAATAGATATGCTTTAGCATATAGATTACTCTACTCCAGGAAGGGGAAATTAGAATTGAACTGAAAAGGATGAGTGAGAAATCTCCTGAAGAGACAAGAAAGAGAAGGTCATTCTTGCAAGGGAAGTAACAAGAACAAAATGGGTCAGCAGGAAAGAGCGTGTGATATCCAAATAATGGCCAGTAGCTCAGTGTGATAGCAGCGTGTGTTGTGGCATGGACTGACTGGAGTCATACTGTTTGCTCTGCAGTTGGTCATAGGAAACATTCATCAAATGTACAGAAGGACATGTGCTCTGTGCCCGGCTGGACTCCAGTTGCTCTTGCAGTGGTTCTCACTGTGCCCTCCAAGGCACTGCCATTGCCCCCAGTGCAGGGGGCTCTTTCTTGAATTGGTCTGACTTCAAAAAGAAATCTTTTCTTCATGTTGCACTCTTAACCATGTCATGTCCTCTCTTTGCAGAGTTTAGTCACTCAAGAAATAGACCAGAATTCAGCCATGGCCCCAAGAAAGAGAGGTGGACGGGGGATTTCATTCATCTTTTGCTGTTTCCGAAATAATGATCACCCAGAAATTACGTATCGGCTGCGGAATGATAGCAACTTTGCCCTTCAGACCATGGAGCCATCGTTACCCATGCCCCCTGGGGAGGAGCTGGACGTCATGTTTAGTGAACTTGTGGTAAGTCCCAGACTTCCATCGTGGCGGTGGATGGGAGTCGGGAGGGAGAAGAGAGGATGTGGATGGTTTGGTTTGGTGCTTCCGTGAAATGGCCCCCGGTGCCCTTATGTCTGCAGCTCCACTGTCAGCGCTGAGCCTGTGGAGACAAGAGGACAAGGAAGAAGATAGCATTGCAACATCAAAAGGGCTTTGCTGGTGCTTAACGTGGGGGGATTTAAACCTATAGGTCTCCAAGTGCATGGCAGTGCTGCATCCTAAGTTACCCTTTCTGATTCTTCCCCACCCCCACCTGAGTCTGTACTTGTGTGCATAAATAATTCCCTCGTCTGCTTCATACCTCCTGGGAGTCCCCAGTGCTCCCTCCACCCCCACTCCCAGTGTATAGTATTAATGTCTTTTTAAAAATTAGTCACACTACCCCTCCTGTCCTTGATCCTTCCTGTCCTTGATCCTTTGATGAAAGACATTATTACTTAAGTACAGTATAATTATTTAGCCTAATGATAGGATTGCAATAATAACTGTTGTGGGAACTTTTTTATAGATACTATCGTATTTTAGAATCAACTCTAGTGAAGTGAGAGATGTAGCTGCTGTAGGACCCAATAACTGTTGTGGGAAACTGTTTACAGATACTGTCATATTTTAGCATCCATCATAGTGAAGTGAGAGATGTCTCTGGCATAGAACCCATTCCTCAAGAGATGTACGGGCTCTCTTCACCATAGCTTTCAAGCAGCTCTGAAGTCGTGTTTCCATTCTGTGTGTCAGAGAATATTATAGTTTAAAGTGCAATGGCGTGAAGATTAGGAAGGCCTTGGTTCAAATCACCGCTCTGACTTGGTCATCTGGATAAGTATAGGACAAGAGTGACTTTTTCGAGCCTGTGTTCTGGAATGTGGAGAAAAAAAATAATACTTCTAATTTGATGTACTGTCTAACTGAGAATGATACCTAGTGTAACGGCCCCCTGCCTGGTCCTCAGTAGGTACCCCATAAATGTTGCATGAGGACTCTATTCCCCTTTGATCACTGGTATTTTGTAATAGAGTTAGTTCTTATCAGACCATTTATGGTATATTGTTCAACAGATACTAGAGAGTGCTATTGTTTTTCATGACTCTTCGCTCAAGAAAATAATGTGAGCTGTGTCACTGCCCTTCGGAGGTAATAACGGAACTGATCGTGTCACTCCAGCTCTTCCAGTTCTAGACCAGAATTCACTTATAAGCTTTCCTTATCTGATAAGCCAATACGAGAGAGTACTTTGAAGCTGATGTTTTAAGTTCTGGGCTCCTCAGTAGATTAACGGGCCTATTACCAACCAGAACTAGTTGAGGAAATGAAGATGACTCTTGGCAACATGTTTATACTTGATGATGTTGAGTATTTTCAGTGTTTCAGGTATCTCTACCCTCTCCCATCTTCACTGCATACAAAAAGAACCCTGTTCTAGGTGTTAATGCGGAGGTTTGAAACAGAAAACTTGAACCTGCTCCCAAGGAGCTGACAGTTTCAGTAGCAAACAGGGACCAATAAAGGCATAATGCCACTAGAGGAAGAAGCACAACCCACCGCTGCGTTGATTGTGTGTAAATGTGTTGTGGGGTGTAGGATGTGGTGATGAGGATGGTGGTCAGGGAAGACTTCCTGGAGGAGGTGAGTTGTGAGGAGTGATTAAAGGGAAGTGTAGGGGATCAATGTTAATGTCGGTGTCACCTGAAGCTAGTTTTTCCTGTGATAGCAAAACTTCAGTGGTTCCAACAGTAGATGTAACCAGTGTGGGTCAGCTGTGGTTTTGCTCCTCTCCATCTTCTATCCAAAACTCAACCTTGGTGGAAGAGGAAAGAGAAATGTGAACTCCTAGCAGGCTCTAGCTTATGCTTGGAAATGACACATGTCACTTCTGCCCACATTTCCTTAGCCAAGTGATTCACATGGCCACTCCTGAATTCACAGGGCAGGGAGGTACCATTGTTCTATAGAGAGTGACACCATAAGTCACACAGCCAAGCCTAAGGTCTTGGTGTGGGTGGAGGATACATAGTTTGTTCGCAGGGAGGAGCAGTGAATCATCTGCCATGAAGGACAATAATGATGTATTATTGACAGGTGTGGTTTCATTTCCCACCTAAAGCATTTTAAAACCAAAAGTCAACTGAAGGAGACAGATGTTGCTGGTAGATGAAGACCACTTTGGTGGTCATGGAGCTGGTGGGCAGAGCTAGCACCCTCAAAGCATACACATCCAACTGTCCTTTCAATTGTATTCTGTCATCCTCCCCAAATGAGACCCTAGCCAGAGTCTGTGTGGTGGCAGCTCCGTGTACATCTCGAAGACAGCTCATTGTTCTATATTCATAAGGGAGAAAATTCTACTTTCTGCCTTCTTGATGTCTTTATTCTGTGTGAAAATTGCCTACAGCTGTTACTTGTTAAAAAGCCAATGCCAAACCAGAACTTGAAGCTGAAACCATTGGAAAACAAATTATCCTGAGGTTTGCATCTGTCCTGGTGAGTGACGGATGGATTTTTGTCTGCTTCTGACTTCAGGGCTTAGACCACAAATCTATCCAACTGCCAAGGGTGTCCTGGGGCAAGGGAAGTGGACTCGGAGCCACGGGAAACCTCTGCCTTGGTTTCTCGTGAGTAGTCACAGAAGCAGTTCCACGTCTGCCCATGCATGGGAGACGGAGGCCATGTGGGGAGGCAGAGTGCATGGCCTGTGGAGTGAGACCACTCTGCCACCCAGGGTAACTTCCTTCAAAATGGTTTCTGTTGGAATTTGAGTTTTATTTTCTTGTCTACAAAATAGGGCTAATACCTTTCCTCTCATAGGGTTGGTGTGAAGATGAAAGCATATAACTTCTTTTAAAAGGCTGGCATCTAGTAGGTGCTTTACACCCCCACATCCTACTGCAGCGAGAGGGATAGGAGATAATACAAGCATTTTCTGGGCACAGCACCCTGAGCAAATATCCCAGGCTTTGGCTTTCCTTGAAAGCTAATCTGCCTGCTGTGAACGAGCCAATGTGGGTCCCCCAACTCGCAGGCCATTTTAGCTCTGTATCTGTTGGAAAGCATCTCACCAGAGCCGGCTGTCGTAAGCTAGTTTCCTTGGCTTTGTCTGATGAGTCACTCATTTGATGTTTTTAAAAGTGATACCAAGTAGGTTGCTTTCAGAATGGCTTACTGCAACCTTATCATCTCATAAATAAAGCAAGCCTGCATGGGAGGTCAGCTGTGTGAATCTTTAAAGAAGGTGAGCAGCGAGGAATGCCTCATTCTCTAGCAGGTTCCCTGCCGCAGGCAGTGGAATGAGAATTTTCCAATTTCTGCAAGCAGTGGTTTCTGGAGGTCCCAGTACCACACCCTGCCTATTTTTCTTTTTTTTAATAACCTTATTGAGATACAATTCACATACCATTTAATTCTTCTAAAGTGTACAATTCAGTGGCTTTTAGAATAGTCACAGAATTGTGCAACCATCAGTACAATGTTTTAGAGCATTTTCATCACCCCCAAAAGCAACTCCTTTACACATTCACCGTCACTTCCCTTTTCTCCCCAGCGCTGCCTTCCTCTGACGACCACTAGTCTGTATGTTTCTGTGAATTTGCCTATTCTGAGCATTTCGTAGAAATGAAATCAGATAATAATGTGGTCATATGTGATCCTTTGTGTCTGGCTTCTTTCACTTAGCATAAATGTTTTCTAGGTTCATCTGTGTTGTAGCATATATCAGTACTTCATTCCTTTTTATTATCAAATAATATTCCATTATATGACATGAACATACTACCTTTTGTTTATCCATTTATTGTTGATGGATGTTTGGGTTGTTGCCAGTCTTTAACTATTATGAATAATGCTGCTATAAACATTCATACACAAGTTTTTACATGGAAATATATTTTCACTTCTCATGGATATATACCTAAAAGTGGGATTTCTGGGTCATATGGTAACACTGCGTTTAACTTCGGAGGAACTGCCAGACTGTTTTCCAAAGTGGCTGCACCATTTTACATTCCCACCAACAGTGTATGAGGGTCCCAGTTTCTCCACATATTTGTCAACTCTTGCGAGTTTGTGTAATCTCTGCTAGCCATATATTTTAGGCCTTTGAGCATCAATCCTTTTTTCCTGTATTACCATCCCCATCTCACCTCTTCACTTCAGCCACCAATCAAGAACATGACCAATCTGAGACCCAGCACTATTCCCATAAAATAAGATTCAGCTAAAGTCTTATCTTTTCTGCAGGCTTTTAAAGGTCTTAGATTGTCCCCACTAACCAATTTGAAGAGTTCTAGGCATGACAACTCTATACGCTGTCATTGCTCAAGTAGTTTTTTCATCTCAATGTTAATAGAAGATTTCCTTGGGGATGAACAGAAGAATGTCATTAATTGACAGATCCAATTCTTTTTTTTTCTAACTTTTTATTGGGGAACAGTGTGTTTCTCCAGGACCCATCATCTCCAAGTCAAGTAGTTGTTTCAATCTAATTGTGGAGGGCGCAACCAGCTCCAAGTCCAGTCGCCATTTTCAATCTAGTTGAGGGGGACGCAGCCCACTATCCCATGCGGGAATGGAACCGGCAACCTTGGTGTTAAGAGCATGCGCTCTAACCAACTGAGCCATCCAGCCGCCCACCTGCAGCTCAGAGTCAGCTCAACTCAAGTCATTGTCTTCAATCTAGTTGCGGAGGGCACAGCTCACTGGCCCATGTGGGAATCGAACTGGCAACCTTGTTGTTTAGAGCACGCCCTCTAACCAACTAAGCCACCCGGCCGCCCCAGACCAATTCTTTTGATGTGTGTTAAGTGCCTACTCTGTGCCAGGCCCTGAGGTAACTGGTGAGCAATACAGACATAGTCCTTTTTTAAAAGATTTTATTAGGGAATTGGGGGAGGGAAACAGACAAGTTGCTGTCATTTTGTTCTTCAGTCTAGTTGTGGAGGACGTCGCTTCACTGGCCCATGTTGGTATCATCA